AAAATAGTAATTTTTCTCTGTCATAAATTTTGTAGTATGAATTTTAGATAATCTAATGATCGTGAAATTTTATATTTTTATATACAGTAGGATTTTGCATTCATTTCCCGAAATATTCTAAAATTATTCCAATAATTGTAATGAGAATAATATTTTAGAATATTTTCATCAGGCATTAGATGCGAATAAATAGGTTTTATTATAGCAGGAAGGATTTTTTGATGAAAAAGTTGAAGGTAAGTTTTTTAAAAAAAAATTTGATAATATATTGATATCTTTGTAATTTATGTATGTTGTACAAGGTTCAATTTTTAATGTAAAAGTATGCAAGAATTAATAGTCCTGGCTGTTTAGTAATTGAAAAGCCTATTAGAAAAGTCAAATAAATCAATTCTGAACAAAACAACGATTTAATTTATTTTTTCAAGATAAAGCTCATGTTATTCTGAGTTCTTATAAACTGATGCGAAAACAAGACAACTAGTAGTTTATTTAAAAAATACAATTAATGTGTCTTTTTTAAATGAATTTAAACGTACGACATTTTACACTCAACTAATGGGCCACCAATATATTTATCAAGAAGTTCTTGGAGGATTATGTTCTACATGTATGAATATTTAAAGATATTATAAAATTTAATAAATGAAAAATAAATGACACTGAATTACAGGTAAATGTAATTGATATATTCTAAAAAATTTCAGTATGTGCTAATATTAATGATAAATTTGTAGGATATTTTTCTCAAAGTTATTTTCAGTAATGATGTTAAAAGCTGTATAGTTTTTTGCTGAGAATTTTGAACAGTTTTCTAATTTATTTACCTTCATGTTCAGAATATTTCTCATTTGTAGTCATTACTAAAATTTAAAAATAAAAAAATTATCGTTAGTTAAATTCGAAAACAAAATAAGTCTAATCTTGTTATATAAAATATATATAGAAGAAGAATAAGCTGACCAAAAAATATTAGTTATCTTATTCTTCTATGAGAGAGAGCTTAACGCATATGGTTCATAAGTATTTTAATGATCTATGACAAAAAATGACCTTTCAATTATTTCGAAAATAATGAAGCAATGATGATATTGCAGTGATTATTAAAGAACACCCCTATAAAAAAAAATTGTCCAGAAAATGTTATCGATAATGTCCGGGTGTATGTGGAAAATGTCCGGAAAATTTCAAAATCGTCCGGAAAGTGTACCAAAACATGGTGGATTCCGGACATCGCGTGATGTCTTAATACTGTACGGAATTTATACCGAAACATGGTGGATTCCGGATATTATCTGGATACTACAGCAAATTCTGGACAAATTCCAGAATTTTTTTTTCATAGGGCACAAGATATGATATCTAGATATTTTTCGCTTGTTTTATACTCAAATTGGTTAAATAATCCTTGTTGGTTAAACGCTTAATTATAAAAAAAAAAATTTTAATTTTTTGTGTCCATATCACGTGACAACCTCATTACAATTCTCATATAGATTCTTTATCCTGGACCTCCTTTTTCTTAAATATGATTGTTCAACAATGTGGCACAGTTGTAGTCTGAGGTAAATATATTTAGTAAATACGATACCATGGTATTATTGACAGTAACTTCACGGGTAATCGCCGATTGCCCGTGAAGTTACATTATAATTATCTGGTTTAGATAATTAAACTTTTGCTGTTGCAAATTACTTTACAGCCAAAGTGTAATTATCATATGTGGCCTGTAATTATTTTATAGAAAAATATTTTTGGAGTAAATCAAAAAATGATTGGTCAACTTTTTTTCCTTAATTTATTTTATTTAATTTATTGAACAAATATTTTTCTGGTTCGAAACCTTTAACCATCCAAGAAGTTTTGGGTAGTAATTCAAACAGCACCACGTGCTCTGATTCAGAGAATTCTACCAAAAAACTGCAATAATTTTTCGGATAAAAGAGGTATTCAGAAGTTCTGTATTGTTATTTATATTTTTTTTTTACTCACTGATTATTGGTCGGATATATATAAATATTACAGAAAACTTGTTATTGAACTGTTAAAATATTTGTTAAACTATTTTATCTGATTAAACGAATTTAAAGGAAATTTTTAAATTCTTAGATAAGACGAAATTCGGAGGGTAAGAATAAAAAATTTAAAAGAATATTGAAAGATGGATTCAATCACAATTTTTTTATAAGCTAATGCAAAGCAATTTAATATAAAGAAGGAAAGGTTGTGAAACTTAGACAGCATAATTGTCATGAACTAGGCCAATGAGCTCAAAACCTTGTTCTGACAATTTAAAAGTAGAATATAAGGATCGCAGTTACTGTGATCGAAAAAGAAAGTGTGAAACTTGAAAAGAAGTATTTACACGCACAAGTCTCAAACGCTAAAACTTCAATGATACCAAATTCAAATGGATTCTTGAAACTCCCTATGGTATTCGTGATGAAGCAATGAATAACTTGCTTAAAGTATTTTCCTCTAACTTTGCTACAAATCGTAAATGAAGCTCCGTTCCCCTTTTCCAATAAATCTTGAATAAGATAATCGCCTAGGTGAATGTTATCTTTGTATACCTAGACCACTTGAAATACGGGCTAAAACCAAGGTCCTTTAATTAAAAAGGTTATTATTTATATTATTTATACAATACTTCCTTGTCCTATATTAATAATAATAAAATCTAAGTTGTAATTTAAAATAAAACTTTAATTATTTAATTATTTAATAATTTAATAGGAAGGATCGGGAGTGATTGCTGTGGATCCAGGTGTACGTATATACATGACTAGTTATGATACAAGTGGAATAGCTGTTGAATGGGAGAAAGCTGATATTAGTCGAATTTATCGTCTTAGTCATGCATGTGATAAGCTTCAAAGTAAACGCGATTGTATTTATGGAAAAAAAAATAAGCAAAACGTTACAGGTAAAATTTATTAATTAATTAATTTATTTATATAATATTTATTTATAATTTAACATATTTACTAATTTAATTGTAGATTACATTGTGTTATGTTACGCATTCACAAAATGATCCGTTGTCTTGTGGCTAAATGGCTTTGTGAAAATTATCGTGTAATATTACAACCTGAATTTTGCATTCAAGGAATGTTCCGACCTGCAAAAGTGACATTTTACTTTCTATAAAAAAAAAGATGTCTTTGTCCTAATTAATCGCCTACATTAAAACCTATCATTAAGCATAGTCTAAATTAGGTAATAACAAGTCCTGTAAGGAAATAGGCTCCCGTGTCAGCCCAGTGATAGCCAGTGACCCAAATGACCTTAAATGACTCAAATGACTGGTCATGTGTCATTTGGGTCATTTCAACATTAAATGACAAATGACATAGTCATTTGCCTAAACTAATCAATATCTACCCCCTTAGGACCGGTGCATTTAGAGAAGTGTGTATAATAGACAATGTAATATTTTATAAGTTTTGCATTAAGAGAAAATGTAATATTTAATAATGCGATACTATATTTTTATTTTATTTATTATAATTACATATTGATATAGAATTTTTTACATAATAAATGTAATATAATCTTAGAAATAAAAATAAAAAATTGCTTTAACATAATTTACTTCATTAAAGTTTTTCTTTCATAGAACTTACCTTTGAACGATCCAGTGCTAGAAGAATCCGGTATTTACAAAAAGATAAGAAAATGAATTTATTGATCATTTTTAAAAGAATGTTTAACATCAGCATTTAACATTAAATAATTTTTTTCATTATAGACTTACCTCCGAATGATCCAAAGGAGGTATCTACAAAAAGGTAAGAAAAATTAGTATCATGAATCTTTTTTTTTTTAAAAAAATTAATATTAAATAAATTTTTTTCATCATAGACTTACCTCCGAATGATCCAAAGGAGGTATCTACAAAAAGGTAAGAAAAATTAGCATTATGGATCTTTTTTTTTTTTAAAAAAATTAATATTAAATAAATTTTTTTCATCATAGACTTACCTTCGAACGATCAAGTCTTGAAGAAGGCGATATCTACAAAAAGGTAAGAAATTTTAATTTAGTGATCTTTTTTTTTTAAAACAAATTAACATTAATATTTTCATCATAGACATACCTCTGAATGATCAAGTCTTGAAGAAGGCGGTATCTACAAAAAGATAAGAAATTTTAATTTAGTGATCCTTTTTTTTTTTTAAAAAAAATTAACATTAGATTTTTCATCATAGATTTACCTCTGAATGATCAAGTCATGAAGAAGGCGGTATCTACAAAAGGTAAGTAATTTTAATTTAGTGATTTTTTTTTAAAAAATAAATTAACATTAGATTTTTCATCATAGGACCCACCTCTGAACAATTAAGTTTTGAAGAAGGCAGTATCTACAAAAAGGTAAGAAATTTTAATTTAGTGATTTTTTTTTTAAAAAACAAATTAATATTAATATTTTCATCATAGACTTATCTTCAGAAAGTCAACTCATGAAAAGGCAGTATCTACAAAAAGGTAAGAAATTTTAATTTAGTGATTTTTTTTTAAAAAATAAATTAACATTAGATTTTTCCTCAGACTTACTTCTGAATAATTTAAGCTTAAGAATTCGGTATTTATAAAAAGGTAAGAAATTAATTTAGTGAACTTTCTTTTAAAAAAATAAATTAACATCAAATTTTTCATCTTCGAATGATCAAGTCTTGAAGAAGATGGTATCTACAATAAGAGTAAGAAATTTAATTTAGTTATCTTTTTTAAAAATAATGTTCAACATTACTTACCTCTGAATTATCTAATACCAACATTTATTAAAAAAAATTATTTCATCTCTAATTTTTTTAAATTTGTTAACTGAAATTAAGTAATAATTATAATTTTGTTTTAATTATAAATGTAAATTATTTTATTTAATAATGCCGTTTACAGTTAAAAGAATGTAATATCATTCTAATTAGAATCTAATTAATCATCGCATTTACAAATTCAGGTGATTCTAGACTATTATTAAAAATGCTGTAGAGGTCCTATTTTGCAAGCAGATTATTAGCAAGATGAATAGTATAATCGATAGCAATAAAATCTGAAGGATCACTTTCTGAATCAATATTTTCTTCTTCAACCATACCCATCCAGTTTTGTATTACACACACCTACTGTTCTGTTGAGCTGATGGTATCAGTTTCATTTTCTAAATCAGGTTCTTCTTCTACAGTTTGTATAAGAGTATCTTCATCGTCACTAACTTGGATAATTGCTTCACTTTCAACCTCGCTATATTCACTATCAGAAGTTTCGTAAGGCTGTATAGGAGTTGCAATATGATTTCATTTATAAAGTTTTTCAGATTTTTCAATTGCTATTTGTTTGTTTCTACGTAAAATGTCACTTCTTAATTGACTCATCCCTAGTACTTTTTCATACTTTAATAAATTAAAAAAATGTTTAATATTATAAAAATAATCTATAAAAATTTTAAAAAATTATTTTAAAATTTAGTTTTACTTACATTAAGCCAATTTCATCATTTTAAATGTAAAAATCCAATGTTTGACCAAAGCCTTTCTATAAAAGCTGAATTAATACAAATTTCATATAAATGAAGAGTAAATTGTGATAACTCAGATGCTTATCCTTTTGTCAAATCCTAAAATCCATTATATTTCTATTAAGTTAGTTAAATGTTTGCAGATCAAAAGGATATACCTTTCGTTGATATAAAAAATATTCTCATAAAATGTGTTTTAGTAGTATATTAAACTAAACCTGATAATAATAATTAACCCATTGACCAAAATAAATATATGAGAGATTTTGTATATTACTATTAAAAAGTGAAGTATGATTTTGTGGATGAAAAACTAGGGATAAAAGTAAAAGAGGTTATTCTTATTGATTCCATTAGCATTCAAGTTGAGTAATCATTTAACCAGAAAAATTATCATTCAGATGATCTAAAATACTTTAATTGTCTATCCAAAAGCAAGAACTACTTCATATAATTATACCATATCTTTTTGTTATTTATTTAATGCTACACAAAGTGGTAAAATTAAATCTTGAAGTTTATATAAACAACTCCAAAAATTTGGATTATTAATAATAATAATTATATCAGAAGAAAGAATTTTTTTGCAGAAATTGATATATGTCTTTATCTTTGAAAACCACTTTGAGATGCAGAAGGATCTTCAAGATGTTTAAGTGTAAATTTTATAGCAAGTGTTTAAATTAATTAAAAAATAAAATAAAATTTAATTTTTAATTAAATAAATAAAATAAAAATTAGAAAAGCTATCTTAAATGCTGCTTCTGTTTTCAAAATACTATAAAAACAAAAATAATAACTATTTTATTTTGTTTCACCAGAAGTAGCTAAAGCTATTATTTTACTATATAATAACTTTTGCTTATTTCTTAATAAACCAGTAAAGTAAGCTGATGAATGAAAATAACTGACAATTTTAATAGCTTTTGTTGAAGTTTGTTGATACATATTTGATACCTTGAAAATGTCTCTTACTATTAAATTCATTTGATAAACTATGCAAGGTAAAAAAATCTTATTAGAATATTCTACCTGCATCATTCTTCTATTAAAAATAAATGTAAATAAATTTTTATAATTTATTTAAACTAAATAAAATAATTGTATCTTTAAAATTATAATATATACTGTGCAGCAGCATATTCACCCACTGAATTAATAACAAAGCTATTATTTTAATTTTTTTTTTCAGCTTCTATCATTATATTTTTAATATAATCATTATATTTTCAGTCTTTGATTTTTTATCACTAATATTTTTTGCTTCTCAAATAAGTGATTTACCTGTTGATATTATAAAAATAATACCAAATAAATGTTCTTGTTTTATGTTGGTCTATTCATTATATGTTACAGTCACTTCAATTTTATTATCTTATGTACTTTTTATAATTGATTGTGTTAACATATTAGTTAAATGTGATAAAATTTGATTACTCATTTTTTTTCAACTTGTTAATTTCAAAGCTAGAGCAATAAAAGTAAAAATATCTTTTGTTTCTTGATTTTTAAAAAAAGTAAAGGATAATCCATTTAAAACTTGCATTCGTAAAAGTAAGGTTTTAAAATAGGGTTTATCTCTTTTTGATAAAAGATGTGATATATAATTTGTAATATAAGATTGAATAGTAATGTATTTTGATAGTTGGATAGAAGATTCTTTTTTCTTTTCTTTCTCCTCATTTTCTGAATCTAAAATTTTAATTTGTAGTATTAGAAATAATTAGAAATAATTAATTATATTTTTTAATTTTGTTTTATAAAATAATATATTTAATATTATTACTTGAATTATCAATTATATTTACATTTTTTCTTTTTTGAATTTTCATTTTTTAATTAACTTTTTATTATCTTCTAGAATATTTCATACTAATATTTCTATTCTTTCATATTCTATTATCTGATTTTTAAAACTTGCACATTTTATTAGATATCCTTGATAAAGTTTAGCTTTATTTGAAATAAAACAGCTAACTTTAATTGAAGCTATAGATATTGTATAATCCTTTATACAAAAATTATAAACTGCTTGCTTATTGGCTGTTTTTTTTTGGTAGAGTAATTAATGTAAAAAACTCTCTAAAACTATGCAGTCTTTTGCTCATATTTGTATAATTGTATTATTAAATTTTGTGTTAAAACATTAACAATATTAAAATGACTTTTTAAAACTATTGAAACTACTTAAAATAAATTTTATAACTTATTTTTTATCATAAAAAAAGAAATACTTCTTGTGTTTAAAATTAAGGTTTATTATTAAAAAAGATGATCAAATAATATGAATTTTATTGGTTTATATAAATAAATTATGTAAATAACCTTAAATAACATTAAATGATATAAATGACCTTTAAATGATAATGTTATTTAAGGTTATTTGTCATTTGCAAAATGACTTATTTTTAATGACCAAAATGACATAGTTATTTGAAAGTCATTTAAAGGTCATTTTAAAATGGTCAAATGATCTCATTATTTGCTATCACTGTGTTATGCTAACTATGAGACATGCATTTCAAACTGTGATTATATATTTTAAGAGAATAATACTTATTTTCATAAAATAAAACTTGTAAAGAAGTTTCATATAGAAAATGGTTTGCATGTACTTTCATAACTGTTTAAAATCCAGATCTCAATCCTATTAAGAATCTATGAGTTGAAGTTAAGAAGGGCATCTGTGAAAGGAAAAATTGCATTCAATCAACATATTATAAAGGTATGGAAACAAATTCTGATACAAACTATCGAAAATTTGGTTGATAGTATGCTGCAGTAAATTCAGGCTATAATTAAAGCAAATGGAGGCTTGATCAAATACTAATTATTTAGTACTAGATATGTAGTATATTGTATTTTAATAAATATTTTAATAAATATTTTTTAATAAAATTTAAAAATTCCAAGTTTTATATTGAGCTAAAAAATGTTCAAAGACTTTTGACAGGTCTGTATTTTCTAAAATACTAAAATATAAATATACAGTATATTAAGACTTTATCTTTTGAACTTATTCTTCATAAAAAAAAATAGTTAATTGTAATTTAACTAGAGCTTATAGTTAATTCCAATTAATTAAAAAATTAAATGTATTTTAATTTTTATTATTAAATCTTAAAAATCCATTCTAATAATTTTTAAATCTATCATTATCATTATCAGAAACAATTATATATCACTATTTTGAGATTTAGTAATATTATAAATATGAAAACTACTATAATATAAGTTAATAAAAATATTATTTAAGAAAAGTATATTTTTTCTTTATTTTTAGTCATTTTTATTTTCAAAATAATCTTCTTTCTTATCAAATCATTAAAAATATACACTGCCTAAAATACTTTAGGTTTAATATAAAATACTTGATTTAAAAATTATATAATATTGTTTATTAGATAAACTATAAATTATGTAATGAATAATGATGTAATATCTTTTATATATCAATTTAATGTCTTATTTTATAGTAAGTATTCTTGAACATATGGAAAATTTTTTTGGTTTATACAAGAAAATTAACTTCAAGAATCAATTGTATATTTTAAAGCAAGCAGCATTTTATTATTCCTACCGATATGTGAGAAAAAATACAATTTTTCAACATAAATATTTAGTTACTTTATCATACATTTAATCATTTTACGTTAGTAAAATTTAAAATTGTTTTTTACATAAAATTTAAATTTCAATTCATTTATATTATAGTATAAACTACATGATTTAAATTATGATTTATCCTTTTTTTTCTCATCCTTATTCTAAATTGACATGATGAAATTTACAGAAATTCGAGATGTATAAAGGTTTAAAATCATTTTTGTAGTATATTGGATTGTTTATTAGTTGCATTATAATATTCTTCATAATAAAAGATGTGTATATATTAAGTAATTATTTAGGAAAAAAATTTGGTTTTCATTTTTGACGTCATAATAGCATAAATCATAAAAAAACTATAAATAAGTTGCTTTAAACTATGGTTTTTTAAAATCAATAAAATCAATAATATTCTTTAAATAATGATTTAAACAAAGCTCTATGAAAAAGGTTTTAAAATATTAAGCAAATCATGATAATTCGAGATAAAGATATGTAATGCTGAACAAAAAAAATGTTTAAACTAACATTTCATGATTTGGTAAATCAATTCTTTAAAGATCCACCATAAATTTAATAATATTAATTTGTTAAAAGTTTTAAATTTTTAATAAATGAGTTTATACTGAATTTAAATTTGTGATTGCATTAATTATATTGAATCTTTGGCTAACCATCTGGAAGTAGAGCAATTTTGGGAGTTCTAGGGTCAAATTCGAAAAAAGTTATCCAGAAAGATCCCAATCATAGGCCAGAAGCTCTTCTAGCTATATAAATCCATAATATAGAATTCAGGTCTAAAATGGCACTGACGCTCAATTTCGCTATCAATCTCCTTACTATAAAATTTAAGCTTCAAAATCAAAAATCAACCAAATCGATATAACTTTTCTAGCGTGATTTTAAACCCACCAAAGATATCAAAAAAAATATACCATTCTATTTGCCTTTAAGACGAGGCGAGATTGGCAAAAACCAAAGGTTCGAAGTCAAGCTCATGGAGACTTTGCAAACCTTCTATATATACTAATATT